AAACACAGTGTTTGTACGGACACAAACCAACATATAATTGATCATGTATAAATCTTACCAAATAAAGTGCCTCGGTGTCGTGTACGTCCACAATACCCCCCTCGCCCTCATTTAGTTAAAATGCTTCCAACTCCCATCCTCAATGTCGTATACAACCAACGTCTAGTGCGAACCATTGCAAATTAGGAAATGTACATAACGGAACAGCTTTGCTGCATTAAGGTTATCCAGTACATACCTATTTCTTGAGCGTACATTGCTGTTCTTCACCATGTCCTGCAACATTATATGAACAAATTACACATAATGGCATCCTACAACCAAACACAACATTTACAACTATCAACTTACCAAACATATACTACTAAAGAAATAAGATTTGTTCGGAGCGTCAACACCCTCATTTATCCTATCCTTCTCAGCACTCAACAACACAGCGTATGCATCGATCACCTATGACATTTGCACATGTATCAAATACTACTTGTTGGACACGGGATTATATTCAGAACATCATTATACGTAATGACAAAAATAGAAACAAAATTTTTAGAAACACCCAACTTCACGACTTACATTCACCTGTATCTCAGATTGTCACACAAGTGATTTCACATCGGTAAAATACACATCAACTCCATGATCATGGCCATCCCACATCACAGCCCTACAAACCATGCATATCACCCAACAAACAATTAACATATGACAATTGGAATAATAAACATACTCAATTTGTTTGCACGTACCTATCACCGTTTCTCTCGTATGCATCGGTGATCTTCTTTTTTTCCACAGCTGTCATCATTTTCCACACATCGTATCTGTTGTTAATTCCAAAACCTAACTTCTTCTTCACGCATACGTTGACTTCGTCCACATTGATGACCTCATTGCACGCAACATTTTCAGTACCACACCTTACGTTACTCGATATCGAGCTAATAACCATTGCGTTCGAAGTACTCGACTGCCTATGTAAATTCATATACTCAAACCCAAGCAGTTTTAACCCCTTTCTCACTTTACACTTTAAGTTCCGTACAAAAAAATTGTTTGTAACATCAGACCGACCACTTTCTGCCGTATTTGGATTGATAACTACCACCTCTGTCCCCGGCAGTTCAGCGTGCTGCATTTCAGCGCTCTTGATTGATTGGTCCCTCTTTGGCATAACATCCCAAACCGGAATTGGAGCACCAACAACGGCAAAAACTCTGTCTGGAGTGGTATTGTCTGTTAGGTCTGTAACATTTACGTCCCAGCCCAACCCACAGTTCACACCTTCTGAATTTACAGTTACAGTATGGAATGCTTGCGTGACATTGTGCACTTCACGCTCAGCAAATTGCTCCTCCAAAACATGTAAAGCCCTCTTCAACTCAGTATTTTCTGTGGCCAGTTTCGTTAACTCGTTGTCTTTAACCTGCATCAAACTACCAAAACCTTTAACAAGGTGCACCATTTGCATATCATTTGAACGCCTCAATCTGTCCACTTCTACACGCAATTCTGAAATCAAATCTTCCTTTACATTGATTTCCAGTTCAAAATCCGCAAACTTCTTCGTAGCGTGGCATACATGCAACCCAACGTCCACTGTTTGTGTTTCAGTCTTTTGTGTGCTACATCTAGTTGGTGTCTGAATATCCACCAATGATGAACCACGTTCAACCATTCGACTACCATCACCACCACCTACCACGTCACCTTCTACACCCACATCAACAAAATCATCATCATGTGCAGTAACGTTGCCCTCCTCCACTACATTTCCCACATTTCCAACGCCACTTACCCCACCTATCTTCAAGATCTTAACCTCATGTCCTTCAGCAACTAACTGTTCAGCAGTCACCTGTAAACACCACATACAAAATACAGGAACATTTTTTAAACTGTATCAAAGTATACTTATACACAAAAACACATACGATATGTATCATAAAATCAAAACTACAATAGATAGTTACCTCAAAATCCACAGGCCCTGATAACTTCAATCCCCGTGTAGCATTTACTAGCATAGTAACATCCCACTTGAGAAATCTAGGGAACGCGGCTGTAGATGTGGACGTTATTATCGTTATACGTTCACACAACCAATACTGTTATCCACACCATACACAATCAAGAATAACGCACGAATTAACTATATGGATACACTACAAGTAACATAAACGATATCACTCGTATCAAATTACACAACCAAGTAAAAAAAATAGAAACGTACCATTAACACGACGACACATCAGGTTACTTTCTCAGGTGTTCGATGGAAATCCCTGATCGAACACATCAATGAGTTACGGATCGCACCCGTCCAATCATACGTTTTCATTACATCCAAATTATCCACATATCGGATGAGTGCCTAGCTGATTGTTTCCCCGGAATTTGAGAAGAACAATTTCCCATAAGCATATAAGCATAACAGCTTCGCTGTGTCTTCCACATCACGGGCTGTATCGCCATTTGCAGCTTCGACTAGTAGAGTCTGTATCAGTTTTGATGTTATGTGACTAGTGTTACGACACCTACGCTGAACGAAGTCGGACGGTGGCTTAGGGTGGGGTGTCAAATTGAGGAAACCATGCCCATGTTGGATACCAAATATTAACTTGATGTCATCATTGCATACACCCACGCTTTGTTTGCCTAAGCGGAACGTCCCATCTTGTAAATTGTAAGCCCGGATGATATTTACAATCAGGTCATCCCCCTTGTGGAACTCCGTGTGGTCAAGTTGATTTATTAAAATTGCTTCAAGCATAAGCCAGAATGGTGTTTTTTTTTTTAAATAAACAAGGTGTTCGTCCTGCAAATTCAGTGTGTACACCAACTTGACAATATCGGTAATGTTCGATCGAAAGTTGAGCCTCGTAGGGGGACGCTTCGGTGTGACACTGGGATGGTTCACAATTTTAGTTTGTTTGAACAAAATACGTCCTTGCCGACGTACCCCAAGTTTTTTTGGCGTCGACCCGTTGGTCGCTTCTTCACGTTTACACTCACAAGAACGCGTCCATGGACTGTTTGTAATACGAACCACTGCATTTCAATCATCAAATGAAATTTTAGTTTAATAAGTCAAATATTCCAACCACAATCTTTATAAACCCAATAAAAACACTACAACATATATTACAGATAAATGTTTGTACATTAGACGTACGACCCATAACAAAACAAGGCAAGGGATGTGATTTAAATCAAATCCCCCCAATCAACAACACAACAATGTGGTATAGTAATTGAATTTACTGGATACCACAATGACAAAAAAAAACAAATTAAGAACCTCTCACATAACATTTTATATTAAACTTTGGCTGGTTTATGTCCACATAGTACATGCCAAAAAGTAATAATGTAACGGGCATATCAACATCGACCCCACATAACAAGGCGTAACTTAAAACTATGACGGGCATACAAACATCCACTCCACATTACACGACGTAATTACAAAAGATGACAAACATACTACCTCCCAAACCACATAACACGGCGTAATTAAAAAATGACCACACACACATCATAGACAAACCCCGCAAGACAATGGCTTTTCACATCACTGTGCAGTTAGTTGCGTGCCAACACGCGCATACCGTGACAATCAACGTAACCCCATCACCTACACACATACATACATGCGAAACACACAAGACCCCCATAATTCCCCAGGCCCACAACATAGAACAACACAATTTGGCATGATACACACACACGCAACGGGCTACATTGGAACCCCACAAATACACACACCATATTAGTAACACACCCCACCACGTTGTACCTTTTTACTAGCCAAATGTAGGTGGCCTCCATGTAAATGTCACACCTACCAACCCATTACCACCAACACATACTACATTATACTTAATCGATCAACACATTAAGAACTAACAAACGTCAAATGTAACTAACAACAATAACCTAAACCAGACTCCTAAAACGTGACAACCAAACATGACATCAAATAAAACTTCATTTCATAAAATCGAGGTATTTATGTTTACCAGACATCGTCGCTGAGTGGGAATAAGGTATTCCTCCGACGTAAACAGTCCCTCTCATTGGTTCAACCCAAACAACACTGCAGAAACAATCTAGGAAATGCAGTTGGGATGTTTGAATCACTAGATCTTTGAAAACCCACACCCAAATATCCAACATGGCATTGGATTGACGAAATTTGAAATTTGAACCACCGAAATCTCATCGCTTGATTTTAGGGTAACAGTTGTTTACCAATTAGGTGGTATTTCCAAATTAGGGATTTCAAAGCGTTAACGGGTCGGGGCACCACAGGTCTCATTGGTGTTGATTTCAGTCAACGTAACACCCAATCACACTCTTCTGTCACACCAAAAATCTTAACCCACCCCATATACATTACACTTAATGGTATTTTAGATAATCTATGTACATGAGGATTATATGGTACATAAAAATAAATTTGGGACCATCTGGAGCATAAGTCTACCAAATGGGATTTCCTAGTCAATTCTCCATTAAATTATATACTTTCATGAATATGTAAATATTTTTAAAAATCAGTTTGTTTAGTTCTAATTTTCAGAAATTTCTACTTTTTTATTTTCCGTATTTTAATGTTTTCAATGAATTTTTTTAATGTTTCAGGCAATTTTTTTTTTAGTTTTTAGATACACCTAATATAGATACACTTACAAAATATAATATTTGTGAATTATTTTTTTTTTTAAAAAAATATACTAAGTACCAAAAAATACAAAAATAAAATAAAGATCCAATACATTTTCGTATTTTTATATATTTATTAATTGTTTAAAAATATTTTTTTACAAATATTTTACTATTTAAATACATCTACATATATCTAAAAAAATAAAAAAAATAATTTAAAATTTTAAAAATATCCACTAAAAAAAACAAAAAATAAAAAACACAATTTAAAAAAAAAAAATCAATTCAGAAAACCGAAAACTGAACATTTTGATATGTATTTCTCACCCAAATGCTATCCTTCTCTCTCTTATTCCCACCAAAATAAACTGATTTCATGCTCTTAGGAAAACAGAGCAAGTTCCAAAAACAAAATCAATGTCGCAAAACCACCAAGCTTTCACTCTTCAACTCCTCAACACTCCATGGCTTCGATCACACCCACCAATCCATATCCTTTGTTCTCCACCTCTTCCTCTCCTCCGGAATGCTCTCACTTGCCCAATCTCTCCTCTTTCGACTTCTCTCCGGTCGAATTTCTTCCTCATTCTTCACTATTTCATCTCTTCTCAACCATTTAACACAAACCCATTTGGATTTCAAGCCCCCCCATGTTCTTCTCTACGAATCCATCGTCAATACCCATGTTCAGCTTCAGTTACTCGAACAATCCCTCTTTTATTTCACTGAAATGATCGAAAAAGGCCTCGTGCCCTCATCGAATTCTTTCAATGGGTTTTTAGCTTGTCTTCTTAGGTCCAACAGTTTTCAAAAAGCTTGGCGGGTTTTTAAGGATATGAGGGGTAGGGTTGGAATGGATGTGTATAGTTTTGGAATAATGATAAAGGGTTGTTGCGAGAATGGTGATCTAAATAGAGCTTTTGAGGTTCTAGCTCAATTGGAGGATCTGGGTTTGTGTCCAAACGTTGTGATCTACGCTACTTTGATTGATGGGTGTTGTAAGAGCGGTGACATTAATAGAGCAAAGAAGTTGTTTAATGAAATGGGGGAGTTGGGTTTGGTTGCTAATCAATTTACTTATACAGTTTTGATCAATGGGTTTTTCAAGAAAGGGTCTAAAAAAGATGGGTTTGAGCTCTGGGAGAAGATGAAGCTCGATGGTGTTTCTCCTAACATTTATACTTACAATTCTATAATGAGTGAGTATTGTAACGATGGCAAAGTGAGTGATGCATTTCAACTGTTTGATGAAATGCTTGAAAGAGGGCTGTGTAATGTTGTGACATGTAATACTTTAGTTGGTGGGTTGTGTCGAGAGATGAAGGTGTTGGAGGCTGAGAAGTTGGTGGGTCGGATGGAGAGGGCTGGTTTGAGTCCAAATATAATCACTTACAACACTCTACTAGACGGGTTTTGTAGTGTTGGGAAGCTAGACAAGGCTGGAAATTTGTTCAATGAAATGAAGTCCAATGGTTTGTCACCATCTTTGATTACCTATAATGTTCTAATTGAAGGTTTCTCTAGAGTGGGAAATCCAGCACAAGCTTCAAGCTTAATTTTGGAGATGGAGGAGAGAGGCATTTCTCCAACAAAGACAACATATACAATTCTAATTGATGCTTTTATTCGATGGGATAACATGGAAAAGGTGTTTGAATTGTATCACTCCATGCAGAAGGCTGGTTTGGAGGCAGATGTTTGCACCTATGGTGTCTTGATAAGTGGGTGGTGTAGAAAAGGTAATATGAAAGAAGCATCAAGACTTTTTAGATCAATGAGTGAGGTGCGTTTGGAGCCAAACCATGTAATATACAACGTGATGATTTATGGATACTGCAAAGAGGGTAACTCCTATAGGGCCCTAAGACTGCTTAAAGAAATGGGTGAGAATGGAATGGTTCCAAATGTGGCAAGCTACAGTTTGACTACAGAAGTTCTTTGCAAGGATGGAAAGTGGAAAGAGGCTGAAATTTTTGTAAATGATATGATAGATTCGGGTTTAAAACCGTCGGTGTCTATCTATAATCTGATTTCTAAAACTAAATTTATTGATAAGTAGATGTTTTGGAAACACTTTTAAGTAGAATTGTATATATAAGAAACACAGAAGAAAGTAAGAGACACAGATGATTTTTTTTTGATCAGCGAGACACGGATGATATTAGTGGCTGTCTTAGCATGGATACTCTTGAAAGTGGTTAGAACTGCTCCATTTCTCGGTAAGCTTTATGTACCCCTCATGCAATACTTTGTTAACTTCAATTATTATTTTTAGTTTGCTACTTTGCTATACAATATAAACAAAGTATCTACAGCTTAGTTACTAGGGATGCATCTACTGTTAGAATGTGTCCCACATCGCCTGGAGTTGTCCCATCTGTGTTGGTTATAAGGTTTTAGTTTCTCTCTCCTTAATACCTAGATTTTAAGGAGAAGTGTGGGTTGGGTTTTTCAATTTGGTATCAGAGTTTGGTTGGGCCTGTGACTGATGTGCCGTTTTGTTTGGCTATTGTATGTTCTGGTCCAGGAGGGTGTGCTGGAATATGTCTCACATCGCCTGGAATTGCCTCATCTGTGCTAGTTATAAGGCTTCAGTTTCCCTCTCCTTAATACTTGGGTTTTAAGGAAAAGTATGAGCTGGGCTTTTTAATTTTTACTAGAAAATAGATTTTGTTAATAGCAGCTATCTTGAATTTGGCTAATATGATTCTTTTAGTTTTTGGAAGAGGTGAAAATATATATATACATTGAAACCTCAAAAATGGTGCAACACATGTGGACTTGTTATGTGTAGGAGCTACACAAAGACTAATCTTCTATGAAATCCGCAAAAGAGAATAACAACCCAGGTGTGTTTCCTGAGATCCAAAATTGAAAGGATTTGAGCACAAGGGACTCATGTAGTATTCATCTTGTTTGGTTTCAATTTTCTAGATTCAATCTTTTGAAAATTGAGTTTTTTTTTTTTTTCCGTATTTTTTTGTCTTTAGTGAATATTTTTAAAATTTTAAGCAATTTTTTTTTACGTTAGATATACCTTACCTAGATGTATCTAAAAAATATAATATTTGTAAAAAAATATTTTAAAAAATCGATAAATACATAAGAATATGAAAATGTACTGGCCTTTCTTTCTTTTCTTTTTTTTTTTTGGTATTTAGTGAATTTTTTAAAGATTTTTTTCTCAAATATTATACTTTTTAAGTATATTTATGTCAGGTGTATCTAAAAATTAAAAAATTGCTTAAAATATTAAAAAAATTCAGTGGAAAAAAAAAAAAAAACACAGAAAACAAAAAAAAATCAATTTTTTGAAAAGTAAAACTAGAAAATTGAAACCAAATAAGGTGATTGCAACTCAACATTCTCAAAGGTTCTATTTCTCTCCCTCAATTTACACTACGTAAGGCTAAGAGGGTCTCGTTGCCTAGCTTGCTTATATCTCCTAGTGCAACAATGATTCCAATAGCCCAAAAGATTCATATGACCTGGTAGGGCCTGGCCCATTGCATTATGAAAATGAGAAATCCCAATAAATGAGCTAAATCCTTGTGATTCTGGACATATGCTATCTTGTGCTAATTTTGAATTAGATCTTGCTTTAATTCAATAGACAAAGTAATAGGCCTTTAACACTTGTGTTGCTGACTTCCATTGTTTTTTGAAACTTTCATGCTCTCAAATTGAATTTAGCTAACTAAAATGGAGTGTCAGCAGTGTTATCCTTGTACATGAAGCTGACTGTCAAATAATTGTTAAAATGTTTATTTTGATGAAGACTAGCCTAACAAATCTTGTTAATGCATGTTGCAAGAGTACTAAGGCCCACCATGAATTTCATTAGGGTTAATTCCACCAACACCCCCTCAACTATTAGCACATATCAATTTACTTCCCTCATCTATCAACCAATACATATGGACCCCTTCAACTTTGAAAATCATACAAATACACCCCTTTTGAAAGTATACATTTTCATAGTTGAAGGGGTCAAGATGGTATTTGCAAATAGTTGAAAGGGGGTGTTGGATTTAATTACCACACATGTGCACTACTGCTTGAAGCATGGGAAGTAAATTCCCCTGCAATGTTTAGCTTCAATCACATGTAAACCAAAGCATTGTGAACTGTACTCTTCTCTAAATCATCACATTAATTGATATATTTTTTCTATAAAAATAATTTAATTCATTAAACATACAAATAAATATAAATTTTGGAAATTAACATCATAAAGATTACCCCATTTGTAAGAAGTGTTAGAATAGGAATTAAGTTAAAATAGGAAATGTGTTATTGTGTGATTGTGTTTCCTTATATTATGCCTTATGGCACTCCTGTAATTACTCAGTATTATCAATATAAAAGGGAATGAATTCTAACTCATTCCTTAATTCTTTCTCTTCTTTAAACTTATATGGTATCGGAGCCTCAATAGGAGGAACCTAACACCATTCAAACAACACCGTAGGACTGCCTAGGCCACCCGAAGGCAGCCCTTGGCCATTCGGCCTTCACACAACTAAGCCGAAGGACAGTCGGCTCTCTCCAGGGCAGCCGAAGCAGCCTCTGCCCTCCTCTAGGCTTGTCAGCAGCCCTAGCTCATTCATATAGGTCTGTCGGCACTCCTAGAGTCCTTGTAGATTTCGTCTAGTTCACCTCTGCTTTTGTCGACATTCCTTGAGGCTTTGTAGTCCTCGTCTAGTCTACTCCTACTTCCGTCGCACTCGTCTGGTCAACCCGTGCTTCAATCGCACTCGTCAGGTTAACCCTTGCCTCAGTCGCAGTCGTCTGGTCGTCTTGGTTTACTAGTGTGTTGACTGGGGTCTAATACATGGCCTGAACTTGTCATCTTCTCTGTTTCTTTCTTAATACATAAAAATAAAATATATATATATATAAATAAAAAAAACAATAAAATAAAAATGCAGTAAAAAATAAAAAAAAATAAAAAAATTTAGAGAATCCTTTATGAGTTCTTAATCCTTTATGCTTGCATAGTGGTAGTTGGGTCTTTTCTTCCACTGTTATCTTCTAAGTTTGTGATTGGCATTGTGTTTGAGAGTTAAAAAGTAGAGTATCCATGGCAGATTTCCTTAGTGAATCCACTACTTCTCAGCCACCTAAGAACGGGAGTTCCATTATACCTTCTACTATGACTGATAACCTCAACCCTGGTCTTAAGATCGCAACCTCTCTATTCAATGATCAGAATTATCTCGCCTGGTCGCAGAGCCTGACTATTTTTTTGAAGAGCAGAGGGAAGGTGGGTTATGTTGATGGAAGAATACAGGCACCCAATACCACGGATTCGAGTTATGACCAATGGGAGATTACTAACTCCCTGATCATGGGTTGATTGATACATTCTATGGTACCTGAGATTGGAGAGGGCTACTTGTTTATGGACAGTGCCCAGGATATTTGGGAGGCGATTGCTACTACTTACTCCCAAAAGGAGAATTTTTCATAGGCCTTCGAGTTACGTTGCTCCATTGAAAGGTTGGTACAAGGTAAGATGACTATTCTCCAGTATTTTACCTTCCTTAACAATGGGTAGAAGTGGGTTGATCACCTTCAGGATCACAAGCTTGTCTGTCCCATTGATTCTGCTGGTTATCGGAAGTTTGTGGTGCAAGAGTGGGTTTTCAAGTTCTTGGAAGGGCTCAATGTGGAGTATGATCCTGTTTGAAGCCGAGTATTTGGCATGGATGTGCTTCCCTCTCTCCAGAAAGGCTTTGCTTTTGTGCAAAATGAGGAAAGTCGTCGCTCTGCTATGTTTCCTCCTATCACTAGTGATTGCTCTGCCTTAGTTTCTGCCCCTCCTCGAGATAGTGTGCCTCGTGGTTTTTGTCCCTCCTCTGAGAAGGATCAGCTTTACTGTGACTACTGCTGTAGACCTTGCCACACTAGAGAAACTTGTTAGAAGCTGCATGGAACCCCTTCTGGTGGCCAAGGAGACCGCCCTGGTACTCGAGGGGGTCGGTCTGGTCAATCGAGAGGCCGAGGGGCCAATGCACGGGCGCATCTTTCCGACACGGTTGAGCCACCACCTTCATCTCCCGTTGTCTCCCTGGCTGCTGATGTTTCAGGGTTATTGGCCTTGTATTTTGAGATTGCTCTTCGCCACTTGCTAGACCACCGAGCCTCCTCGTCTGCTCCAGGTGCACCCTCTTCTTTCTTTGCCAATTCAAGTAACTTGGCTTCATCCCCATGTGCATTGCTATCTCATACGTCTGTACTATGGATTATTGATTCTGGTGTTTCCGACCATATGTCTGGCTCCTCTAATTTATTTTTAGAGTATAACCCCTCCTCAGGTTAGGAAAAAGTGCGTATTGTTGATGGTACCATTTCGTCTATTTCAGGGAAGGTTTAATTCATGCCACCCCTTCCCTTCCTTTGTCTTCTGTCCTCCATGTTCCCAATTTCAGTGTTAATCTTTTATCTTTGAGTTGTATTACCCATGACTTAAATTGTAGCGTGACTTTTTTTTCCTGATCATTGTCTTTTTCAGGACCTTATCACGGGGAAGAGGATTGGCAGTGGTAGAGAGGAACATAGGCTCTACATTCTGGATCAGACAGATAAGCTGGCTCATTTTTCTATTCAATTACCATCCATCAAGGAAGATATTTGGCTGTGGCACCGTTGCTAAGGACATCTCTCTTTTTTATTACTTAAGCATTTATTTCCTTCTGTTTTTGAGAAAAATAATGTGTCAAATTTTCAATGTGAGCCTTGTCAACTTGAAAAACAACACAGAGCCTCTTTTGCTCCTTCTATTAATAAAAGTCTCGTTCCATTTTCTTTGATTCATTCTGATGTATGGGGTCCATCTCGTTTCGTGTCTTTAACCGATCAAAAATAGTTTGTTATCATCATAGATGATTGTTCCCGGGCCACTTGGGTCTATTTGATGAAAGATAAAAATGAGGTATTTTTTGTGTTTCAAAACTTCCATAAAATGGTTTGTACTCAGTTTAGGACAGTTGCCAAAATTCTCTGTTCTGATAATGGGGGGAATATATTGACTCTGGTCTTGCCACTTACTTCGCCACTCATGGCATTCTTCACCAAACTTCATGCACTAATACCCCTCAACAAAATGATATTGCAGAACGAAAAAATTGCCATGTCCTTGATGTCGCTTGTTGTCTATCCTTTTAGATTCTGGTTCCTCAATCATATTGGGGGGAAGCGGTTCTCACTGTCGTTTATTTGATTAGTCGTCTTCCTACCCAAGTCCTTCAAAAACAAACACCTCTTCAAGTTTTGTTCAAGTCTACCTCTTTCGGGTTCTCCATTTCTCTTAAGACTTTTGGTTGTGTTTGCTTTGTCCATAATTATTCACCCACTCGTGGTAAATTAGATCCTCGGTCCTTTACGTGCGTTTTTCTAGGTTATTCTGCCACCAAAAAGGGTTATAAGTGTTTTCATCCTTCCATTCGCAAATGGTTTGTCTCCATGCATGTCACTTTCTTTTAGTCTCAGCCTTACTTTCCAACCTCTCTGGTATCACAGTCATCCCTTCAGGGGGAGCCTTGGTGTGAAGGGATTTCTGTTCCACTTCTGCTCGTGGTTGAACAGATAGAGGATGATGAGCTAGCAGTTGTTGAGGAAAATGAAGCAGGCAAAGTTATATTAGGGACAAGGACAAATAACAAGTCACCTAGATGCAAGAGACTACTTTCCTTCCTCTATTGCCAACTTCTTCTCCGGATGAGTGTCCAGAGTCAACCCTTTCTCCTGAGAGTCCAGGTAATTCTGATTCTAGTGTTCCTATTCCTGATTTTTCAGATCTTGATGTTCCCATTGCTAATAGGAAGGGGGTTCGGTCATATACTCAGCATCCTATTACTAATCATGTCTCTTATTCTAATTTGTCTTCGTCAGATAAAGCTTTTCTGTCTAAAGTGTCTTCTGTGTGTCTACTTACCAATTTTTAGGATGCTTTCTCTATTCCTGAATGGAAGCATGCCATGATGGAAGAGATGAGAGCTCTCAGCAAGAGTGACACTTGGGAGTTAGTGGAGTTACCTAGAGGCAAAAATCCAGTTGGGTGTAAGTGGGTGTACATGGTAAAACACAAAGCAGATGGTTCCATAGAACGGTACAAAGCAAGACTAGTTGCTAAGGGCGTCACTCAAACTTATAGGGTGGATTACAAGGAGACATTCGCATCGGTTGCTAAGATGAATTCTGTAAAAATTTTACTCTCTCTTGCTACAAATTTGGATTGGCCACTTCATCAGTTTGATGTGAAGAATGCCTTCTTTTATGGAGATCTAGCAGAAGAGGTCTATATGGATATTCCTCCTGGTTTTGCGGATGCTAAGTCCAACGGTAAAGTCTGCAGGCTCCGAAAGTCACTTTATGGGCTAAACCAGTCTCTGAGGGCTTAGTTCGAAAGGTTTGCTCAAGCTATGCTGAAATATGGGTCCAATCAAAGTCAAGCTGGTCACACTTTGTTTGTGAAACACTCCTCACATGGTAAGACCACAACTCTTATTGTCTATGTTGATGATATTGTTCTGACAAGAGATGATGTTGAGGAGATTCCTCGTTTGAAAAATACTTAGCCAAGGAGTTTGAGATCAAAGACTTAGGCTATTTGAAATATTTTTTGGGCATTGAAGTAGTTCGGTCCAAGGATGGCATCTTCATATGTTAGAAGAAGTATGTACTTGACTTGCTAAAAGAAACTGGAATGCTTGGAGGTAGACCATGTGAGACACCTCTAGAATCGAGCCAGAAACTGAGTGGGGATCAAGAGGGAGATCCAGCGGATAGGGGGAGATACCAGAGACTAGTGGAAAAGCTTATATACTTATCCCACTCACGTTCAGACATTGTTATTGCAGTGAGTATGGTGAATCAGTTTATGCATGCTTCGAGAACTTCTCACTTAGAGGCAGTTATGAGAATTCTGAGATACTTGAAATCTTCTCTTGGAAATGGTCTCTATTTCTCAAAACATGGCCATCTCAGTGTGGAGGCATTTATTGATGCAGATTGGGCTGGATCCGTCACTGACAGACGATCAACTTCCGGATATTGCACATTTGTTGGTGGCAACCTAGTCACATAGTGAAATAAGAAACAGAATGTGGTTGCTAGATCTAGTGCTGATGCAGAATTCAGGACTATGGCTCAGGGAGTATGTGAGTTATTGTCGATTAAACTATTGTTGGGAGACTTGGGAATTCATCAGAATGACTCCATGTAACTATACTGTGACAACAAGGCCACAATCAACATAGCACATAATCCAGTTCAACATGATAGGACTAAGCATGTGAAGATTGATAAGCACTTCATCAAGGAAAAACTCAGTAGTTGTATTATATGTATTCTATTTGTGAAGACTGGAGACCAACTAGCCAATGTTCTCACCAAGGGGCTTGGGAGCAAACCATTTCATGGGATTCTCAACAAGCTGGGTATGAGCGATATTTTCGCACCAGCTTGAGGGGGAGTGTCAGAATAGGAATTAAGTTAGAATAGGAAATGTGTGATTGTGTTTCCTTATATTATGCCTTTTGGCACTTCTGTAATTACTCAGTATTATCAATATAAAAGGGAATGAATCCTAATTCATTTCCTAACTCTTTCTCTTCTTTAAACCTAAAAGAAGCACAGACACTTATAAGACGTTAACATGTTGTGTCCGACATTGATACGAAATGACATGACAATCGTTGGATGCTTCCTAACACTTGGGCCACACATGAAAAACACGTACACGTTTGAATAAATAACTTGGAACTCAATCATAAAGTAAAAACAATGTAAATTTATACCTGTTCTTATCATTTAGACTTTAAAAGTTATTATCTTTTATTTAAATATTCATGTTTATGACATATAGTATTTATTTATTTTTATATATGATTTATAATAAATATGTAAAATCCTATATTTTGCATACGTCCCCCACGTGTCGTGTCTATCATTGTTTGAAAATTTTCATGGCAATGTGTCTGTGTTGTGTCCATACGTGTTCATGCTTCTTGGCCCAAATGCAAGGATAAGACGAGCACCTGATGGGTAGAAGTCACTATTTTGGACTACTTAAAAAAGTTTTATTTCTAATTTGGACTAGATCTTTCAACCTAGTTGTGGCCCAAGTTGCCCAACAATAATAAAAGCACATTCTAAAAACGTATTTTAACCTAGTTGTGGCTTGAGTTGCCCAACAATAATGAAAGAGCATTCTAGGGCATTGTTCCGTAACCATCGGATAAAATTGAGGCTATTTTTTATGTGCGCTGGGAGGAGCTGTCATCTCCAATGATGTGCTACGCTATGAGCCCAAAAACCATAGGCTGGTTTCCCCTCAAAACTATGGGCTGTTTTGCCAAAACCACGTGCTAGTTTGGCCAAAAACATGGGCTGGATTCTTTGAGATTGGGGGGTTTTAGGGGGCTGATTTTTGTATATCATTAATTTACTGGCCCTAGTTGTTTTTCCTATGCTTGGCCTTGTTCTGAATTTTTTTAGATCTACTCGGTAGATTATGTTTTGTGTAGAAGCTAGACATGTTTTACCCTCTTCATAGGATGTGTTGGCTTATGATTTACCTACCCAAAAACAAAAACCTCATCCAATCCCCAACCCTAATCTAAGACTATATAATGCCGTGACCTCTATGGCTTGGTGACATGAAAAATCATGGTCACAGAACGACCTTGAGAAAGGTTTGATGCCCTGAATCTCTATTTATGCATTCTAGCAAGCAAGAAATCAGAGGTTTTGACCTTAATCACCTCTGAAGCTCTAGTGGATTTTCAAACTAAGTTGTGGCATCAAATCTTGTTCTAATCTTCCTAGGGGTATGCTAAGTTAACTTGCATTTTCATTGCTTCATGTGATTAGCTCTACCATCTAATCAATAATTTTATATTCAATTTGATTATATCATTTCTTGCTTCTACTTTAATTCATGGAATTAGCAACCTTGCTTTTTTGTTGCCCTCTTCGCTCCAAATCACGAGGAAGAGGATTTATCTATATGCTTTCCCTTCAAGTCAATCCATGAGTCTGGAGGACCTCTTATCAGTTATGGAAACATATCTTTGGTACTAATTAAAAAATAAATAAAAACATATCTTTGGTTGCAGATTTAGTTGTTGATAGTGTTTATTAATGTGTTACACAAAGGTTGGGATTGATCCACACAATTCATCTAATCTTTGCGACTCTCCTTTACTCATAAGAGATGTGGCCATTTTCACATCTATATCATTTAATTTTATCTTTCTACATTCAAGTAATTATATTTTATTAGACTTCATTTGCTCTCCCCCCGTCCCCCCCCCCCCCCCGCGCGCGCGCGCGTGGTCATTCCTTAGTTATTGATAAAAATAATTACTTGGAAATTCTAAGATAGAGAGCAAGAGACAAGTTGGGTGTGTAACCCTTTCTACTTTTGGTTATTTCTCGAACCACAACCTTATTCCATGATCTTTAGGGATGAGTTTACAAGTAGACCTTAAGAAACATGGACACCTTGACATAGAAAATTTTCAAAATATGTAGGACATGACATGTGCAGGACACGTGCAAAGTATATAATTTTATATTTATTTAATATGTCATATGTAAGGATAAATAATTATTATATGTTATGTATATATTTGAGTCAAAGATAATAATTTTTACAATAATGACTTGGACCCCCTTTGTTTCCCACCCCCTTGACCCCCTCTTCACTTGATTGGCTACTTTTTTTTTTTTTATTCCTTCTCCAATCACCATCTGCCACGTGTCTGTGGGGGTGGTGGGGGTGGCGATTGGAGGGGGTCTCAATCATCACCCTAATTTTTAAAGTCTAAAGGAGGATAATATTGATAATTTTACATAATTTTTGTTTTATCATTGGAAAAAATAATGAAAAATCCTCGGGGAAGTAAATTCTAAGTCCACCCAAATAAATTTTAATGCATGAGATCCCTCATTTTAGGTTTAATGGTATTTGAAGGACATGTTTGGGGAAGTAAATTTTAATGACAAATTTTTCCCTTCTGGTTGTACGATCCTTCAGTTATTTCTTTCTTGCTCTCTCTCTCTCTAAGACGCAAAATTTAGTGTTTGATCGTCTCCACCGCTTACTCTGTGTGTGTGTGTGACACAATCTAGTGTTTGATCATTTCCACCAGCCGCCGATCTCAGATCTAACATCAGTGACCATTGCCTTCACCGTTAACCACCGCTATCTCATATCCGTTATCACTGAACTCAGATCTGATACCAACGACCTCGGATCGGAGATTGAAAACCTCAGATCTGTGAGAAGAAGGCCACCAAAGTTGCCTGTCTTTCTCCAACACCATTGCCATCATTTCAAATCTACTGTCGGCGACCACCGCTTTGTCTCTTGCCGCTCATCGTCTCCTCTCTCTCTCTCTCTCTCTCTCTCTCTTAGACACAACTTAGTGTTTGATCATTTCCACCATCCGCCGGTCTTAGATCTAACATCATTGACCACTGCCTTCATCGTTAACCACAGCCATCTCAGATCTGCTACTGACAAACTCAGATCTGTGACCAGCGACCTCATATTGAAGATCGGAAACCTCAGATCTGTGAGAAAAAGGCCACCAAACTTGCCTCATCTCTATCCATCCTCTCTCTCCAACACCATTGCCATAGTTTCAGATTTACTATTGGTGATCACCACTTTGTCTCTCTCCGGTTTCTCTCTCATTTCTCTTGGTACCCAAAGATTTATTTATTTTTATTAGGATCAATTTGAATATTGAGGTTGAAATTTGAAACAAATAAGTTGTTTTAGTGTTTTAATTTACTATTTAATTGTTTAGTAGCGGAATATTCAATGTTTTGATAATTTTTTTGTTTAATATTTCTACTAATAATGATAAAATCATAGTAAGTGTGGTGGTTAGTAATGATGATGGTGAAAATTTAATGTTTAAACGTGCTAAATTCAAACAGTAAAATTTTACTTTCATCAATAAAATTTTACTGTTAACAAAAAAATGAATTTTCAATAATTTTTGATTAGTTGTTACAAGCCACTATTTTCACGTTAGTTTGCTAGTGTTATACTTAGAAAATATGAGGAAGAAGAACTCCGAAAATATGAGCGTAATTGAGAATCAAAATCGTGAGAACGCACTAGAAAATGCATAATTAACGCATAAACACGTAAGCAACACAAAACAATCAAACAAGATCAGAGCAAAAATTATTCGAAAATTCTACGCAATTTCAATACAAGTTCGAGATTTTGAGAATCAATATCGCGAAAACGCGTCAGAAAACGCATAATTAATGCATAAGCATGTAAAGCAACAACAAAAGAAATAAATAAATCAAATAACAGAGCTACAATCAAACAAAATCAGAGCAAAAAATTATTCAAAACCTAAAACATAACACATACAGATACAGATACAGATACAGATACAGATGGAGAACCGTATGGTGAATTACCTGAAAGTATGGAGGATGAGAGGCGATCTTGGGAGCTCTGGGCTTCTTCTCCTTCGGAACCCTAGGTTTCTTCTCCTTAACAGGTTTCTCCGCCGGCTGTGACTGCTCCGCCACTACGACCTCCTCCATCTGCACCTCAACAGTAGGATTCTCACCTTCAACAGTGGTCGACATCACAAATCACTTGATCGAATCACACACAGTAAGAAGATCGAGTCGCGAAAGTAATGCTCTCTGATGTTAGGCGTCGCTTGTGGCGCCATCACTGCCGGAACTGCCGGAACTCGTTACCTGATCTGGTCTCTGTTCGCCGATCCCAACAGCTTCGAATTCCGTGATTCAGAGGATGATTTTGATGGTGCTGATGATGTGAACCCGAAGAAGATGGGCTATATCGCTGTTCCTGCTGCCGATACTCCGGCGGCGGTGAAGGAAGTGGTTTGAGCGTGGTTTGGATTTGTGTGACTTTAACTCTAGTAAGTAAGCATGGGTTTTCTCATCGTGAGTTGGAAAGCATGGGTTGGTTAAGCCTAATCCAACAGTGAGAAGTCTTGCAACGCCATTGAGAATGTTTGATGGAATGGATGAGGAAGAAGTTCCAAAGAAGAAGCCAGAGGTGATAGATGGTCCTGTGCTGAAGACATGTTTCACTGGCAGGCAACAATTATGGGTTTGACATGAGGAGACCATAGTGGCACCGATTGTGGCCGTTGTTGGCCATTGTTGGAAGGTGCAACTGAGCTGTCCATAATCACCGGCGGCGGAAGCGGCCGCGGAGGACCGAAACTGGGAGGTATGACAGACATGTTATGTGCTTAGTTTTCTCATCGTCCGGCGGGCGGCCAAGGCGAGACTGCCGCCCGCCGGTGAAGCGAAATTACTAGGTGGTTAACTTAGCTCTGATACCATAAAAGATTTAATCTATAACATGTATTGAAGGATTTAATCTATAACGTGTATAGATAAAAGGAAAGAATGTGTATTGATAGATATTGATTCTGTTACAATTGATTGATTATATAGATGTAGGTTAGGTGGTGGTAGGTGAGGAGTAGGTGAGTGTAGTAGGTGTGTGTGGTAGGTGATGGTAAGTGTGTGGTAGGTGATGGTAAATTCTAACAGTAGGTCATACAGATTATGCCAGCATTGATTTTCTCCTTGATGAAATGTTTATCCACTTCTATATGTTTTGTGCGATCATGTAGAACTGGATTATGAGCTATAGATATAGCTGCTTTGTTGTCACAATAGACCTTCATAGGTGTCGGGTGAGAAAGCTTTAATTCTTCATAAATTCTTTTAATCCACATTACTTCACAGATTCCATGGGCAACAGCTCTGAACTCTGCTTCTGCACTACTTCTAGCTACCTTTTTACTCCGCCATGTAACTAGGTTCCCACCTACAAAGGAGCAGTATCCGGATGTTGATCTCCTGTCTGTAACACTTCCTGCCCAGTCTGCATCTGTGTATACTTCAACTTGAAGATGTCCATGTTTCTTGAACAGTAAGCCTCTCCCTGGAGTTCCTTTCAAATATCTTAAGATCTTATAAACGGCCTCAAAGTGCTCTGCCCCTGGTGAGTGCATGAACTGACTTACCATGCTGACTGCAAAGGCAATATCAGGCTGCGTATAAGACAAGTAAATCAATTTCCCGACAAGTCGCTGATATTGTTCCCTCTCTTTGACTTCTTCAGCCTTAGCAGCTTGTAACTTCAAGTTAGGCTCGATCGGAGTCTCCACCATCTTACAACCAAGCATACCTGTTTCTCCAATGAGATCAAGAACATATTTTCTCTGATTAACGAATATACCTTCCTTGGATCTTGCAAATTAGGATTTTGTTTCCACAAATGACACATCCATACTCACATGAAATTTCTTGTTTTGAGGATCGAAGCACTTATACCCCTTTTTGTTTGAGGAATAATCCAAAAAAATACATTTTATAGCACGGGGGTCAAGTTTTGAACGAAATTGACTGGGAACATGAACATAGGCAGTACATCCAAAAACTTTGGCTGGTAAATCAGAAAACAACCTCGTGTCAGGAAAAAAATTTTTGAGACAATCAAAAGGTGTTTTGTATATTAACACCTTTGTGTTAGCATATTATATTAGCCGAAAGGTACACTAGGGTTTGTCTGTAATCATTTTTTGCACTCAGGGATAGCACTCAGGGATCATCTTGTAAATTGCCTTCCTTGTAAACCCTAATCTTCATCTATAAATAAGGGGTGATATTCTATCATTCCCTAAGCTGGTTACCCAAGCTTCACAAACGTCTCCTGATAGTCGATCCCATAAGTTTGAGTGAAGCCTTTAGCCACCCGTCTCGCCTTGTATCTCTCAACGCTTCCATCTGCGTTACATTTTATCGTAAACACCCATTTACACCAAACTGTTTTCTTGTCTTTGGGTAGATCAACTATCTCCCAAGTACCACTTCTCCTTAAAGCATTCATCTCCTCCATGACTGCTAATTTCCAATTCGGATCATCCAATGCTTCCTGTATATTCCTTGGAACAAAGAAGTGTGAAATCCTAGATGTGAAAGCTCTATGGTTTTTAGACAGTCTTTGATAGGAGAGGTAATTTGCAATAGGATGTTTAATGCAATTTCGGACACCTTTCCTAATTGCTATAGGAACATCAAGGTCGGAAATAGAAGGAATAGGATTACCTAAAATTTCGATGCCAGAACTCGGGTGGACATTCGGGTCATTAGGATGGACATTCGGGTCATTATTCCTCAGATGAAATCGCTTCCTAGTATAAACCTGAAGCTCAGGATTTAGATCATTTTGTAGTACTTCTCCCCCTAAATAAGAATTTTCTTAACTAGGCACCATAGAACTTGGTTCTCCTAAGTGATCATTATCAGACAGATGTGATTTTTGTGTAAGATAAATGACATTGGGGAGCGGGATAGAAATATCCCAAAAACGGTCTTCTCCTCCACTTGTCTTCCCCTGAAGAGAAATGTTGGGGAAATAGGATTTTGTTTCCACAAATGACACATCCATACTCACATGAAATTTCTTGGTTTGAGGATCGAAACACTTATACCCCTTTTTGTTTGAGGAATAACCCAAAAAAACACATTTTATAGCACGGGGGTCAAGTTTTGAACGAAATTGACTAGGAACATGAACATAGGCAGTACATCCAAAAACTTTGGCGGGTAAATCAGAAAACAACCTCGTGTCAGGAAAAAAAGTTTTGAGACAATCGAAAGGTGTTTTGTATGTTAACCCCTTTGTAGGCATCCTGTTTATCAAATACGAGGCTGTTAAAATTGCTTCACCCCATAAATATTTAGGAACATGCATGTAAAACATTATAGCACGTGCTACTTCAAGTAGATGTTTATTTTTTCGTTCTGCAATGCCATTTTGTTGAGGGGTATCCCGACATGTAGATTGATGAAAAATCCTTTTTTTTTCCAAAAACTCACCCAACTGCTCATTGAAATATTCTGTTCCATTATCAGAATGTAAAATACCAATTTTGGTTCGAAATTGGTTTTCAATCATATTGTAAAAATTTGTGAATAAATTTTTCACGTCAAATTTTTTATTCATCAAATAAATCCAACATAAGAGGGTATGGTCATCAATAAATGTAACAAACCATCTTTTACCAGAAAGAGTAGTGATTTTAGAAGGGCCCCAAACATCACTATGAATCAAATAAAAAGGTTTGGAAGCCTGGTGAGGTTTTGGCAAATAAGTAGAGCGATGAAATTTTGCAAAAATGCAACTTTCACAATGAAAAGAAGAACAATCAATCCCTTTAAATAATTCTGGAAATAAATGTTTCAGATAAAGAAAACTAGGATGTCATGGCGGCGGACATGGAGAAACAACAAACTTATTTCAAATCTGTATGTAGCCTTAGCTTCAAAGTATTTGTAAATTTTTTGATCAATGAGTTTTGTGCTCTCTTGTTGATTAGTATTCTATTGATTGTACCATGTTGTGACCTTTTAGCTCGAATAGCTGGTTCCATCTTGTCAGTCAAACATTATAGCATGACATATTTGTGTTGGACAAAATTGGCTGTCAGCTTGTCCGAATGCAGCAACTACCAGATTCTCCCCATTTTTTGTTTGTTTCGATTCTTATTGTAAATTTAAATATTTCAATCTCACTGGAAAACTCTTGATTGCTAGATTTATTAAATCGCGGCTAAGCTAGAAACTTTTGTGATGGACCATTTGCTTTTGCAAGTATTCAAAGTTTTCATTTTCTTCAGGAGTGAGATAGTGTGTTTCCATTGATTTGGACTTGTTAAAAACATGGTTAGACTTAGAAAATATGAGGAAGAAGAACTCCGAAAATATGAGGAAGAAGGAATATATTTCTGTTATATTCAAAACTTCTTATCTTACAAGACCAAATGACACTCCTTATATAGGAGATATTACAAACATCATTATAACCCATTATATGCCACTTACATATTATATATTACCACTATCTACCACTATCATATTCTATACATGCCACTATCTGCCACCAACACCACTATCATATTATATACATGCCACTATCTTATTATATACATTAACACAAATTTCCAGCAGTTATCACTATTGTTGTTGTTCCCTTCATTATCATAATTGTTGTTTCTGACTGGTATATTAGTTTCTATAGATTGTGGCTCTGTCTATGGAAGAATATACGTGGAAGTATAACAATTCTGTTTTTATATCCCTTTCAGTGTTCTTAACAATAACGTTTGTTATTTCAGAGGTTCATACGTAGTGAGATGATCAAGGATGTTTGTACTCTTGGAGGTAGCACATCAGCGATTTTTTTTTACCGAGGTACATTCTTACCTGATTTTTATCTTGTTGTAAAGTGAATGGCTTCTAGAGCTTCCTCAGTAGATAAAAAATGTCTCTCCCTTTCTTTAATTATTTTGTATATTTGTATTACTATGCATATGTTCTTAGTATTGGCTCAAAAGACAAATGAACCCTGTTTTTTCTTTTCTTATACTTTTCTTTATCTTTGCACCTATAGTTTATTTGCCTTCAAATGTTCACAAGTGATGAGAAATCTTATGAAGAAGAGGATGAGGTCGTTGTTCATAGCATTTCAGTTATGATTGTCGAGTTGTCAGGTGAGACGTGATGCTCTGCAATTTGAAATGGCATGCCTCGTGTGTTTGACCTTTCGATTTTGTTAGTACACATAGGGCATGTTTGATTGGGTGGATTAGAGCATAGGATTGGGATTATTAATCCGTGGACCCAATTATCCTATGTTTGTTTTAACATTTTGGTTTAGGATTATTAATCCAATGGATAATTAATCCAACAAATTTGTAGGATTATTAGTAATGGGGTAGGAGTGGGATTATTAATTCAATGGATATTAATCCAATTGGATAGTGAATACTACACTAATTTAATAGGATTTTCAATACTTTACTATTAGTCTTATGAATCAAACATGACCATAAGACCTTGGCTAAAAAAAACTGATACGTGAGGAAGTTTCTGTGAATATTTTACTGTGGCATATCTTTCTCTCTCACAATTAGGCATGATTTTTATCCCAAAAATTTATTATAACTCTATTCAAAAGGCAAAAAGGATGCTTTTCATTTATTTCTAGCAAAAGAACAACTTTGTGACTCTCAGCCCAGAGGTAAGATAAGTTATTTTCAATCAAACAAAAAATTATGTATCTTTGTTGTTTAATGATATGAGTTTCCTTAACAGAATTTATTTTCACCCCACTCGAAATGTTACTCAAGCACTTAATGTATGATCAGTTGATTTGTATCTCGTGGATATAACAATCTTCTCTATTAGAGAAAAAAGAGAAAAAGAGCAGGAGGGAAAAAAGACGAACGGAAAAAGTAAAGGAAGAATGACACTAATAAAGGAAGTTTGAAAACATTGAGATCATGAGGGAACAAAAGAAATGGAAATGAAATCCAAAGCAAATAGCAAGGGAAGTTCAAAATTGTAGAAAGATAGCAAATTTACTTGGTGAAAGTAATAGAGCGTATAGAGAGAATATTGTCCTTAATGAGGGCTCAATCAAAATATTAATTCTTTTCAAATTTTTAATATTTTTTTTGACCACTTTGCTCACAACCTTGATATCAGGGGGTTATTTCCCTTTATTGTCTTCTTGTCTGGCCCAAAAGGAAAAAAACATAGCAAAAAAATTCTTCTATTTTTATCAATTCTCCAAATTGGAAATCCACATTGATTGAGCTCAATGTAGGTTGGGACCATAAATGGTGATTTCTTTTCGCATTGGTATCTGTTATCATAGGGATTGTCTCGATGCTTCCCTTTTTCATGCTTGCTTTACATCTGCCACATGTTGTGCACCTGCACTCCCTTGCTTTATTATTCTTTTCTCCCACTGGATTTTAGCACTCATGAATCTTAAAATGGAAGTTATTTGAAGTATTGGATGAGTTGGTAGAGTTCAAATTGTTGAAAATATTCGGTCCCTGGTCCTTTTTTTATTCCTTAACAAAGAAGGGGGGAAAAAAGGATTCAATATTATAGTTGTTCACGTCATTTATTCAATAGAAAAAAAAAGGGAGTAAGGTTGTTATTTGCAATAGATTGCATACACATTATTTACACTTCCAGAGAAAATGTTTCAAGGTATTAATGAATCTTTACTATTCTGAATTCTGATCCTGGAAATTAATTTTTGCACTATGCACAGAGTTCGACATATTGATCCAAAAGTAATTACATGAATTAGTTTGCTTTTTTAATACTATGTGCCACATGCTATAAATGTTTGTTTTTCCACATTTTTTCCCTTTCTTTTTCCTACTCCGTTACTTATCTGCATCTGTAAACAAAATGTTTAAATTTTGTTTCAAGTAGTAGACGAGTTTGGCAGCGTAAATCATTACACCCTTTTTCCATAAATGAAGAAATTTAGGTTATTAACTCTTATTGTTTGTCCACAAGGATGCCTTGCTTGTTATAATAATATTGTTAAAACCTATCACCTACTTCACCCACTAAACCTAACCCACTACACCACTACCACCTCACCTACTCCACTAAACCTAACCCACTACACCACTACCACCTCCACTTTACCTACTCCATCTACCACCTACTACCACCTACTCTTCTATATATAGGAATCATTGTAACATTCAATAAATGAATCAATAATACAATCATTTCTCTTTATACATTAAATTTCTACATGGTATCAGAGCTATAAGACTTATTTTTTTTTTTTTTTTGCTTCACCGGCGGGCGGCACCCTCGCCTTGGCCGCCCGCCGGACCTCAACCTAGTCCGCTAGAATTTTCTCACTCCCTTCCTCTCTTTCTCTCCCCTCTTAGCTCAAACTCAGAGAGTCGTAGAATCGCCTCTCCTTTGATTCATCTCGATCTTGGTTTATGAGCTCGAAGGAGAAACCCACTCTTGGTGGTACGCGGATTAAGACCCGTAAACGGAATATTGCAGCTCCTCTGGACCCTTCAACATTTGCGGATGCAGTGGTCCAGATTTATCTGGATAATGCTGGTGATCTGGAACTCATTGCTAAGAGCATTGAATCTTCGGACCTTAACTTCTCAAGATATGGTGACACCTTCTTTGAGGTTGCTTTCACAGGTGGTCGTACACAACCTAGCACAACCAAGCCTGATGAGGGGGAGCGCCACCCTTTCTCTATAATAGACTGTGAGCCAACGCCCGTCGGCCTTCGTGAAAGTCACTGTTGATGCCGACCATGCCACAGTAGCAATAGCCACAAGAAGCACCACATCACAGCAGCAAACCCTTTTTTCTGATGCTGTTGTCCTTCTCTCTCTTTCTCTCTCTTCCCAGGAAAGATTGAAGGTCAGTCTGGGCAGTATTTGCAGTGGTCCAGATTTATCTGGATAATGCTGGTGATCTGGAACTCATTGCTAAGAGCATTGAATCTTCGGACCTTAACTTCTCAAGATATGGTGACACCTTCTTTGAGGTTGCTTTCACAGGTGGTCGTACACAACCTAGCACAACCAAGCCTGATGAGGGGGAGCGCCACCCTTTCTCTATAATAGACTGTGAGCCAACGCCCGTCGGCCTTCGTGAAAGTCACTGTTGAAGCCGACCATGCCACAGTAGCAGCAGCCACGAGAAGCACCACATCCCAGCAGCAAACCCTTTTTTCTGATGCTGTTGTTCTTCTCTCTCTTTCTCTCTCTTCCCAGGAAAGATTGAAGGTCAGTCTGGGCAGTATTTTGGTGCAATCACAGAGACAGAGCAATGGCAAACAGAGTACCTAAGCCTAACCCTGTGGTCTTGCAAAGTGACCAATTGTATCAGTATATACTGGAGACTAGTGTCTACCCACGAGAGTCAGAGCATCTCAAGCAGATCAGGGATGCCACTGCAACCCATCCAGCGACCTTCTTTGGTACAGCACCAGATACAGGGCAATTAATGGCCATGCTCTTAAAGCTTGTGAATGCTAAAAAGACCACTCTCGATCTCTCTCTCTCTTTAAGACCATGAAGTAAAAAGTAGCAGCTCCTCTCCCAGTTTGATGGATGTCATTGCAAACATGATCTTCTGTTTCCCATCCACGTTCGTGTTCTGCACTCGAAGAATGTGCTAGAACTCTTCATTCGCTACCAGCGACATGGCTAGGGTTTCAGATCGGGCTCCGCGAAAGCTCTTTCTTTACTCGCTGAGATGGCTTGCAACTTCGACCGAACAGACAAAGCCTCAAAACCCTGTATTGACCACCACCACCACTCACCCAATCATCATCATTCTACCGACCCACTCATCATATAATACTCCTCCACCAGACCCACCTTCTTCATATCATATCATCCACTCACTTCTTTTTCTAATGAGGCAAAACATTTTTAATATTTTTACTCCACCCACTCTCTCTCTCTCATCCTTTTTGAAAACACACTTTCTCCCCCCACCATGTGCTGCTGCCAGCACCCATTATAGAATATATATCTATTAAAAAAAAAAAAAAAACTCACACCGATCTTTCTCTAGTCACCCATCCACAAATATTATTTTTTATCTCTTTTTTTTTAACAAAAATTTTTTTTTTTTTTTTTTTTTTTTTTTTTTTTTTTTTATTCAACAAAAAACAACATCACCAAAATAACACCACAAACATTCCACACACTCGTCATTTCTTCATGCCGGGGCTCCACCCCGATCACAATTTTACACCAAAAAAAAACAAAAAAAACAAAAAAAAAAAACAAAAAACAACAAAAACCACCGCCACACACGCCCACACCCACACCCACAGTGGGATTTCTCTTCTCTACTCTGCTGCAGGTCTCTTCTTCTTGCCTCCGTCCTGAGCTGCTCTTGCCGGTGTTGCCTCCGTGTTTCCCCCTCCACTGGGCACGATCACTACTCCCTGCTCCTCCACTGCCGCATATGGTGGACCTCCAAATCGGAACATCACGGTGGCCTTCCGCTTCAGCTCCTTGTTTTCTGCCCTTAGCACGCTTATCTCTGCTCGCGCATCCTTATACATGCGTTGGAGCAGAGCCAGTTGGGCGTTTAACTGCTGCACCTCATTTGTCCTACTCTGCAGCCGGTGCGACAAGTTTGTGACCGCAGTCATGGTCTCCACACATGACTTCAGTGTATATTGATTGGCTTCAATATCTGTTTGCCCTGCCATTTTTTGCTCCACAGATCACATCGGAAAGTTCAACGGAGCAAACCCTGGGGCGCTTGGTTGAGGTTCAGGGGCCACCGCACCAGTTATTTCTCTTGTGGCCTCGTTAAGGTCGGGAAAGAGAGTGAGTAGACTACGGGACGACGAGGCCATTTTCTGGACAACAGGGTGTTACAGAGTATTACAGAGTTTCTCTCTCAGAGAACGAAAAGGTTTCAACTAGTTTGTTATGCTTCCAAGCACAGCCTCCGCCTCAGTTTATAAAGACCCTGATGAAGAGGCAGACACACGCATCATGCGCCGCTCGGCGCTCGACGACAACATGGGCGCGCCTTTTGATGGCACGTCTTTTGATGGCACGCCTTTTGATGGCACGCCTTTTTATGGATTGGGCACGCCTTTTGATGGCACGCCTTTTGAAAAATTGGGCGCACCTTTTGAGGGTGCGACTTTTTAATGGGTCCGACA